ATTTTAGAACCCACAATTGCCTTTTTGTTAAACGTTTACCAAGTATGACTGAAATAAAACACAATCACACAGCAGAACAGAATATTACAACAAATGCCACATATTGAACGTGTGTCTATAGCTACTGACATTTCTCATATAAAACTGTATGAAAATTAGCCGCAGTACAGTGCTTGTACCATGCAAGGGTATTTGTCAAGGTACAAAAGCAGAAATGGTGAAATCTTATTACTTAATTTGAAGTGCTGTGATTAAATGAACTGGTAAAAACAAAACAAACAAAAAAACCCTTTTAACTCTCTGAACCCCAAAACCCACTGGCAGTTATAAAATGCATCTTTAAAATGAGTCCAGAAAACTGTAAAAGCAGAAAAAAAGGTGAGCTTTTCAACTTTTCATCAATGTATTTGTATATGTTAGAAAAAAAGCAATAAAAAAAAAAACCTCATATGATGCATCCAAATGATTGACAGGTATCTATATATTTCATTATAAGTAATAAAGTCTGGAAGAAATGTAGTGAGTGGACCTTTTTTTTTTTTCAACAAAACTAAACTCATAATATTATTTCCAACACCAATGAACCTTAAAGCACCAAATGTCTTCTTTAGTGTTAAACACAGTGTTGTTAATGATATGTAGATATTAATTAATGCTACTTAAAAAACTAACAATTTGTCTAGTCAAGTCATTAAATATGATTCCAGTTATAATCATTCACCAACAGTCTACACACCACTTATAATGCCTAATAACAAACATTATATTTTATATACATTATAAATACATTTGAACATTTATTATATGTGCTTATAGCTACATTATGGTTTGCAACAAGCTATGTAGTTATTGTCTTCTGATTATGAAGGATAAGAGAAGCATTGCTGGTAAAATTTACTGATTATTCTCACTTTTGTTGGTTTCCAGTTTCCAGCAACAAACAGGCAGGATCTGGTGACATATCTGCAACATGCAGATTTGGCTTCACTGTTATTTCAGGTGCAAGTGAAGTATAACTTGATGTCTGGACTGTGTAAAAGTGTTTATGTGTGCCAAAAGCTTTGACACTCTTCCACATGCCTCCCATGGACAGCCCATACTGTAGCACCCTTCACTGGCAGAGCACATGTCTGGTTTCCAGGTGGAACTTATGAGTCTGACATAAACTCTCGCATCTCAGCTTTCATTCAGACGGACTGTTTAGCCATACATTCAGCAAACGGTTTGATCTCTGTATTTGCAGCATGCTAGTGATGTCACACTGTTTCTCTTTTCAGAGTAGTTCAGTTTCATTTTGTCCTTTACAATATGTGACTTGGACCGTTGACAGCTACAGCAGCTGGGCCTTGCTCGAGTACAATGTACAGTTTCAGGTTGACTTAACATTGAGATTTTAGCAGCTATATATATATTTGTAGGCCATCTAGCTAAAGAATAAAGCTTCTTTGGTGACACAGTGCCTAAAGCTGTGGCACCAGTACCACCATGCACAACCAGCACAGTCTACTAAATGTTAAAAAAAAACAACTTCATGGACAGTCTTTGATATTGAAAAAAAAAACAAAATAAAAAGGAGATTTATCTCAAAGTAAAACTATCTTGATTCTTCTCCAAAAGATAAGAGGCTTGTATTTAATGTGAGGTCAGATACATCAGGCTTTAGAGGGCCTGCAGCTCTCTGCACTGTCTGGCTTTGTTTTGTGTAAGGTTACTGTCAGGCCAAGACTTCACAACCTGATTTAATGAGACCCAATGCATCTGTTCCCAGTTTCACACGGGTGCCATCGAGACCTAAATGGAAAGAAACTTTGCTCTGACACCTTGGGTGTTTTTTTCTGAGGAACATACTTGCATGCAAGTTCCATTTGGTTCTCTTGAATACACATCCCTGAAGATGAGTCCCCCTTTTCAGCTTGGGCTTGAGCAACGTCTAAACATATAATTAGTGCTACATGGGGAAAATCCTTTTTTTTTTTTGCTTTTTTTCCACTTGAAAGTTCCCTGTACTTCTTCTCAGTTCTTTCTTCTTGTCTTTTGTACCACTCTGTGATGTCAAAACATCTGAAGTGATGCATCTGAAGGCCATGCCTAATATCAAAGACCTGGGTTCATGCAGACAGCCTGGAGGCCCGATGCTGCAGGACTTCAACTCGCAGCCCGACACTTCTGGCACCTCTGTTTTCTGGGAGCAATGAGTGTGTGCTCCCAAGGCTGGCAAAGAGAGGGACCATGGATATTTTCCCAATGACTAGAGGAAGTCGTGCCCTGAAATAAATGGCTTACTTTATTTCAAGTGACAGACCCACTTCTTTCCGAGCACACTTGCCCTTGGCAGCCCCTGAGTCACTTTGTTCAGCAAACAACATAGGTTCACTCTTTAAAGGGGCCAGTGGGGAAACTAAATGCTGATTTCACTTGGATTGTGGGAGGAAAATGTATGCTTCCCAGGAGTTGCTCCTTGATCAAAAATATGTTTCCGTTGTTGCACTGGACAGGGTGGCTGGAGTTCAGGCACAAGCTGAGGTTTGATTTATTGACATGAAAGTGGCACTCAGATTTTACATATCATTGTAACTGTCTAACATCTGACACAAACTATAAGTATTCAACAGAAAAACCTGCTGTTCAAAAAGATTGGATAGTTTTAAAAATGTGAGCGTTTACTCTGCAAGGCAGGTCGAACAAAATACACAGTGAAGTGGCATTATGGGAAATGTAGGACTAAGTGTTTAAGTGGCAGAACATTTTAGAAAGTGCGATTGTTTGCCTGTCTGGTGAGAATTAAATGAAAACTTAGACAACCCCGTGTTTGTGTGATAAATATTCAGCGAAAGCCAGCAGCCAGTTAGTCCAGCTTGGCACAAATACTGGAAACAGAGGAACAACTAGCTTGGATCTGTCCTGAGGTATCAAAATCTGCCAATCAGTTCCTGTAAGCTCAGTTGTTAACATATTTCATTCCATTTGTTGGATCATGCAAAACCAGGGTGCAAGAAAAACAATTTATGATGAGGTTTTAGATGCAGTTAGGGGGATTTTGTTACCTTGAGACAGACCAGGGCACATAGTTTCCACTCTTTATGCTAATCTAGACTAAGAAGTGGCTGCAGCTTTATATTTAACATGCATGACTGTGGTATCAAATCTTCTCATCTCCCCCGTGGCAGGACAGTTTTAACTTATTAGACAAACATTTGTGGAAAGAGAAATCAGTGCTGTCATATGAGAAAATAAGGCTGATCAACCTACAGATGTATTTTTTTAAAAGATCTTGGAATCAAATGACATTTTCCCAACTATAAGTTGATTTCTTCATTTTTGGATTTGATAAAATGAAGTTTCACAGATGCATGTGACAGTGACTTTAAATGACAAGCTCTCCCGATTTCTTAGAAAGTATTTGATCCCGACGTGTTTGTGTTCAGCTCTGCTAAATTACCTCAAGTCGATCTCTCCCAGTCTTTGTGCCTGCTTACTCTCGCTTGAATTTTGCATTTTTTTTTCTGTCACAACAGCAGATGATTTGAAAAAGCTGGCTGGAGGAAAAAGCCTGAGAGGTAAATGGAGTCAGAATATAGCAGAAAAAGCCAGCGTGAAGAAAATAGTCTATATTTACTGCAGCTCTGCACTAGACAGGATGGCATCTCACACCAAAGTGACTGAAGGGGAACATCACACAGCAGCTCTTCTTTTAGACTTGTATTTGAATAAGAGGCTTCCATATTCACTCTCACATTTCTGTGTTTCTCGCTGCTGTGTCAAAAATGACAATCTGGTGACGAGCAACATGTCTGTTTAAATACAAACCGACACCACACAATCATTAACTTTAACTCCTTCTGCAATGATGACCTCTTGGTGTCCATCCAAGATGCTCACCTCTTGGCGTTTCACTCTGAAAAATCAAAGTTTCCTTAGTTTGCTTTCAGGTAATCGTAGCCAGTTTTGCTTGAGGGTATTCATCCTTTAAAAAATGCCTGCTGGTTGCTAAATACTTGCCTCAGCAGAAAATGCTGGTTTACTGTGTCACACATTGACATCCTCTGGCAAAACTTTGTGAACCACCCTGGAACGTGCTCTGGGCTTAAAACCAGCCACCGTTGCCAGACCCATATAGCAAGTCTTTGGTGTGTGCCACGTGGACTATTCCAAGAACCTCAACCCAAATATCTCTGACACAGAGCTACGAGAGCAAGGCTTTGACTTACCCATTTTCCCTAATAGCGCATTTTTTTCCTGGCCTCACCACCATTTACTTAACCCCTTCACTCCCTGGTTTCTGCGCTGTGAGACAGATGGTTTGGTGAAAAAACACACACACACACACACACACACACACACACACGCACACACAAAACCTCTTCATCCTTCTGAGCCGCAAGATTCTGCAAACTCAGTCAGCACACTGTGACGAGGCCTCCGTGAAAATAATGAAAACTTTCTATTTTATTTTTTCACAATCAAGGGTATTTGAGGACCTGGGTTTGCAGAGGTGGGAGTTGAGACTCTTTTGAGACTTTTACAGGAAATTGCATGTTAATGTTGCAGATAGATTCCAGCTCATATCTGGATCAGACAAACCTGGTATGCGTGAGAACCCTTTCAAGTCACGTTTCCAGTGCATCCACACTTTGCTTGCAAGAGCGTGCAGCGTAAACTCACAGCAGATAGCCGACATGTTGTTTTTTTCACCACCATTTTAGAGATCTTTCAGAATTTTTTATTTTTAATTTTAAATGAATGTAACAGTCATGGCAGCGAGACCGTAAGCTATGACTGAAAATGATGGTTCGGATTATGCTTCAGACTTAAAATGATCAATCTGGTGACACGCTATATTTTCATTGTCAACAAGTGCTATGAAAAGACCAAAACCAAGTATGAACTAATCCCACTAATAAGTATCATGTGTGTTTCCAAAGCCTGATATATTTGTCTACATGTATGCTTCTCTTTACCGTGGTCTACAAACTATTAAAAACTCACAAATCAGGGTTGCATGGGGTGACGGGTTTCTTTATTAACACGGACCCAGATATGGGCACTGTGACAAATACTGCACTGCTGCCGCTATCAATAGCCCCTAACAAATGTAAAATTTCACCAACAGCTGCGGCTCCGGGTCAGAAGTCAAGGGTTCAAACCTCAGCTCAGCTAGCTGCCTCTGTTGGGTCCTTGAACAAGGCCCTCAACTATATCCGCTCCTCGTATCTTGGCTGACCCTGCGCTCTGACTCCAGCCGCCAAACAAGATGGACTATGTCAAAAGGAATATTTACAATTCCGTAATATAGATGTGACAAATACAGGTTTGCTTTTCTTGGAGTACCATTTGCTGGAACCTACAATGCCCAGCTGTTTATGTGAAAAATAATGAAACTAAATTTATGCAAGAGATGTTTAAAAGGTTTGTGTTTGGGGCCACAGACAAGGCAAAGAAAGTACAACAGCAACCAACACTGGCCTCTCTTAAAATGCACTCAGCTGATATTTGACACTGTTGTGCAGGTTAAAAGGCATTACGTTAATACTATGAGGTTACCGTCAACCCTAATGTACATAATCAACAAAGTGGTATACAAGGGATTTATTCATGAAACAGAACAATCTTACACTAATGCTTGTAGAAAATGTATATCTAACAACACAAGTATACAAAAACATTTACATTTTGTGCATTGCAAACTCTCAACAAGATGAACAAGATGGAAACCAAACATGGATGAACACGAATGCTATACAGACGAATGACAACAAAGTCAGTCACACACTTTGTTTTTAGACACCTTCATATGGATCCTTTTCAACCGGCACTACAAAGTTTCACGACATCCATAAGTGATACTTGCGACTAACATATGAATGAAAAAGTAAAAATGCTTTCACGGCTGACTGTTGAACCTCAGACTCTCAGGTGTTGCAGTACTTGGTGCTTGGTCTATGACATTCAATTTGCTTAGAATCTAGAACTGCAATTCTATTTGTTTCAATACATTTTAAACTGATGTTACTACCTTGGTGTACTTTCTTATTTTGTGTTTGTTTATGCTTTACAAGTAAAAAAAAAAAAAAGGAGAAAAAGGAGCTTGCTATGGTGCCAGTAGCCTAATTTGCAGCCAGTTTTACTTGAGGTACCATTAATAAGCTCCTCTGAACACAGAAAATCAAACAAATACCAAAGTGATACATCACTACGAGGACAATGAGGCCATGTCTGGACAGCTAAGTAAATAAACCTTTCTCTGGCAGCTACCATCACCGACATAAACATCTGCCGTGTTTACGTTTATGATTATTTAAAAGCAGCTGGTGTTTGTCTTTATGCTTCAGTTTATCTGAAAAGGTCTGAAAAAAACTAACAAGTAAAGGAGTGCACGACAACATGGAGAACCTTGCAATACTATATTGTGTTATCTCGACGTTTGTGATATTCAATTATACGTTTTGTCAGTGTAAACAAATAAATAATTATTTACAAACTAGCAAAAATGCAAACAAACAAAAACAAGCAGAGCATAAATAATTTACAAAAAGGAATTATAGTACAGACTTAGTATAAACATCTTTGGCACTTACTAAAATGGCTTTTTTTTTTTTTTATAAATTGTTCACTCAAGTTCTCCATTTAAAAAAAAAAAGAAAAAAAAAGGATGAAAAACATGAAGAGAAATAGTAACGGACTTGAGACAGCTAAATGATTATGCTTTGGTTACAGTTTATGTTCGTCGGACACTGTATGATCAGTTGTTCGGAAAACAGAAGGTTAAAGGTAAAGAACAACCGAGTTGCTGTAGGAAATCACATACAGCATGTAAGTGGTTGTACAATAAATTCTAAAATGTAGAATAGGTACGCGAGTTATAATTAGATATTCTGCAGAGGCTTTTAAGAAAAAAACAAACAAAAAAAAATGTGTCCACTCTCTCAGTTTTTCTTTCTCAGTTTGGGAGATGTACGTAAATCACCAGGAAAACTCAAATCTGCCACGGTTTCTCCTCCAGTGGATGGATTAAGGCAAAACATGGGAGTATGCAAAGTCCCATTTACATTGAAATGGATTCAGGGATGACGTGATGTTTACTTGGAGAGATTCTTGTCTTTTGCCCTCTGATGTTTTTCTGCCCGACTTGATTCAGTTATCTGCGGAAAGATTGAGAAAATAGCTTCCATTACCGCCACATTTATAATCAAAACTGGGACACTCGATGAGATTCGCGGTCGACAAGTGCCAAGAGCGCAGCAACAACATGTGCATTGTGTGCGTCAAAAAGCGTGTCTTCGGTAATGTGGCTGTGATTGTAAAAAGGCTGCAGGCTCTTTTTTTTCCCACTGTTTAGCACTCAGCAGAAGATCTGAAGTCCTTGGACTAAGACACAAGGCCTTTCACAATGCATCTGCGGCATTGTACAAGCTGACAAGCAGAAACGTAGCATGACAAAATCTTTGCCTTGCTTCAGCCAACGCACAACATGTAGCCCTTCTTCATCATTACCTTGTGAACACTGTTGGAAACTCCGGCTTATCTGAGGTTTAAAAAAAGATGTTAAAGGTTTGAAGACTTTAGCTACATTATAAAACATGGAGAAGGCTTTGTCCTCCATCCTCTGATCTTTGTGTTGTATAAGAATTGACATGTGTGGACCACCTTACATCCACATATGCTGTGCATGGACAGACGCACAGAAACCACAAGCACATATGTACCGCAGGGATTCCTTAAACATCTATATGTACATTTACCACAGACTGTAAATAAAAGATGAATGTAGCAACCGCGGTGTCAATCATTGGCTTGTAGACTACCTTTTTTTTTTGAAGTTTAGGATTTAGACGTCACTGTCTTGATCTTTAGAAACCTCGAGGACTCTATGCATGCCCATAAAGTAGTGACTTATCAATCACAAGGTAGCCATGCCCGAAGAAATATCCTGCTTTATCAGCTATTTTACTCTAAATGGGACCAAAATGAACATCATGCTGTGTTGAAGGAGATTTGAAACTAGCAACTGAGACCATAAACTAATTAGGAAGATGTTTACTGAGGTAACAAATCAACTGAGAAATTGGGTCATTTTCTCATAAGGTTCTACGCATCTGTACTTCTTTTACAACCACAGGAGTCGCCCCCTGCTGGACATCAGAAAGAACGCAGGTTTCAGTCACTTCGGTGTTGGCTTCACTTTTCAGAGGCGGCTCCGTCTATCTATTATAAACAGCCTATGACATTTCTGTATAGTTACTGAGCTGCATTTATGTGGCACAAATAATCACACCAAATTTTTTGTATATGTAGGATTATATTTCTACTGTAATTCACAATGTCTGTCTGCATATTTGCGTTCATCAGAAAAGTAGCTAACACAAAGGGTTCACATAGTTTCCCAATCCCATGAAAAAGTTTATGATGTCCTAACACTTTCCTCAGATGACCACATGTTAAGATGTGAATCCCTCACTGCTATTATCTATGAATAATTTCCGGTATCTGATAGCTGTAACAAATGCAATGTGGGGGGAAAAAAAAGTCAACACTGGTTTCTGCACTTTGTAAACATGTTGATAGCTGCTATTGTCAGTCTGCTAAGGTTGTGTGCTTTTCACGCTTCACATACTCGCACATATACACACGTGTCTGTGTTTTCTGTAACCAAACAGAAACATTTGTGGTTCTAACTTTAAAGTAAAGTGTTTGTACTAACCTCTGCACTCATACTTGAGGTCGGAGAAGAACACCAACTCTTGCGAGAAGACAAACAAGCCTAACCTTCCTCCGGCAAAAGTCTTGTCATAAACTGGTCCTGAGTCAGCCATGATCTGTTTACCTTCGTAGACCACAACCCTGCGGAATACAAGACAGACATAAACTTTTCAATGTGTTGAGATTATGATGTTTGCTGATGTACAGTACATTCTGTCGCAATATTCACTGATATGAGTTTAATCATGTATCTGTACCTCAATCTCAAACACTCCATTATGCATTTATCGCCTTTAAGAAACAGAAATTAATGTCCTTCTTCTGGTCAACTTTATGTCTTACCTTATAAAACCAGTCTTTGGTCTATGGATGAGATGCCACCTGTAAGCTGTGTAATCCTTCCATCCAATGTTTTTGGGGTCATGCCAGAGTGTACGCACCTACATAAAAAAAAAGTTAATGACAATTAATATTAGGACTGCCTTTAAAACAGACCACACACCATTTAGCCTGCGGCTCACCTGTCCTGGAGTGTTGCCCGTGTGCCACAAAGCATTCCTGAGGTTTTCTCCGGTGCCTGTGGTTGAGTTGACAACTTTGAGCGAAACGCCAGAGATGCCGAAGGCCTTGGAGGGCTTAACCTCCCAGTAAGTCTGTGTGATCTGCTTCCACATCACTACATAAAAGCGCCCACTCGACTGGTAGCCGAACACAAAGCCTGCATAGTCATCGTCTCTGTCTGTGTTCACGTACATGGTTCCACTGAAGTCCACAGCGCCGAACTCATCAAAACCTGTGACGGTGTGAAAAAAAAATGCCATGAGACACAAGGCTCTGTTCAGTCAGATGGAGTTTCATAACTTTCAAATGAACATGAAATGGCTCGTAAACAAGGCAGTAAACATATGCGTCTGCTCACCGACTGCAATGCCTGGGTCAGAGTTGGCTGTCTGGACCAGCTCTTTGCCCTGGTGTCGGACCACCCAGTTGGGATCAATTTGAGTGGTTCCCTTAGGATCCAAGTGGACCATCTGAAACTTCCTGAAGTCTGTCACACTGATGGCGTTGTTCTCCGGACACACATCCAGAATATCTGGGATGCTGTCATTGTCAAAGTCATCTTTGCAGGCATCTCCTCTTCCATCACCTGTTGAAAAAAGGTTTAACCTAATTTAATCTTCTGAAGTTTCTGGGCTGTTGTAACACCTTTAGTCACTGTAGGCTCATATTGCACTGCAGTGTAAAGTCCTGCACTTCTAAGGAAACAGAACAACCACTGCTAGAAGTAGAGAGAAAAGCTCTGATGTAGAATAACAAAGTTATAATGCCATAAATCTGGACTCAACTTTTACAACATTTTTCCAATGTGCCAAAAGGTGTTGCCACTACTAGAAAAATGGTGGTTCAACATGCTATAAATATTTTATTACTTACATTTTTCTATTTGCTTTCTGCAAGCACAGCCTGCAGTTCAGCCCGGCTCAGCCGAATTTAGGTCATGGGACTGTTAGTCACAGCTGAGTCACTAATAGCTTCATGTGTCCACCAAGGAACACCATTTGGTTTTGTTTGGGGTTTTTTTGTACAATTTACTTTTGCAGTTTTTAAAATGAAGCATGTAGAATAATGGAATTTTGATAAAATATCATGAATATTAGCTTTGATTTGGATCATTTTGCCAACAAAGTGGGACATCACACATTAGTAGTTCAAAGCTAAATGAAAAAATATTTCTGTTTTTACAGTTCCTGGCTCTGACAAATGCTGTAAATCTACAGATTTCTAAAAAAAGATTAAAACCCGCCTGCCAGTTTTGGGGTTAAGAGGGTAAAATAAAAATATATGAAATGAACGACATTTTTCTCCTATTTTTCCATAAGATGGAAAATATAATCTGTCTACAGCAGCTAGCGTGAGTGTCATGATACTTCCACTGCAGTGGATATTGAGGCGCTATTCCAAGTTATATTAAAAATGAATGGAAAAAATAGCAGCTCCTCACAGGAAACTGGATTTCATACCTTTGCCAAGTCCTCTAAAGCTTATAGCCATCTTCTCATGCTGTGACAACTTCCACTGATACTTGTAACTATCTGAAGCTCGAGGTCTATTCGCGCCAGACTGCAGGCGAGAAACCGACGGTGGAAAGGATGCCAATGGCTAATGAGGGCCACTGCATGGAAGTAGCTGGCTGCCTTCTGTCACCATCTTTGTTATTGCACGAGGAGCTCAAACGATTCTATCAAATAAACACTATCTGACAAGCTGCGGAGAGTGTGAAACTGCCAGTGTCCAGCGCCTTCCTCCCCTTTGCGGTCTGTTTCCAGTTACAGACAGCTGTACAAACTCCAGGTAACCCTGCTTAAATTGGGCACTGCGGATTAATCACGAGCAAAGCCTAAAGGAAATAAAAACTTCACAGCCTGGCGGGTGCCCTCCTGGGTGCCTCACTGAAGTCATGCAGAATGACATCATCCGTGCCAACCCAGTCGTTGACTCTTTCCACAGCCACCATATTTCACACCTGCTGCAGTGAAACTAATTGCTAACTCTGAAAGCATCTGGGAGAAGGCACTGTGAAGCCAGATTGGAACATCACTCAGTAATGAGTGCAAAGACTGAGTGCATGGAGTGCGTGGGAGAGAGACTATTTAAGCAAGCAGACAGAAAATACTGGCCAAGCTATAAATCTAGCTATAGATGATCAGTTCCCAGACTGACAAGTACAGCTGCTGTCTCAATAAATCTCCCACATCAGGAAACTTACTGTATATTTAATCCAATGTGCGAGTTGACCTAGTGTGCAGACGTGCAAAATACTACTACTGTAGCTTGGGAAATTAGGTACTGAGAGTTTTTTAGCAACCTTAAACTCATGCAACTCCTAACACTAAGACTTTGTAGTTATGTTGGAAAGTGTCTGTTTTCTTTGCACTTACATGTCTGTGTTACCACAATAAACAGCACGTGAACCACTGGACAGTTATGACAATTTGACATCCTCACCATCAGAGTCTAGTTGGTCAGCGTTGGGTGTTAGTCTGCAGTTGTCCCTGTCGTCAGGTATGCCGTCATTATCATCATCGTAGTCACACGCGTCTCCTTTGCCATCCTTGTCATGGTCAGCCTGGTTGGCATTGGCCACATAGGGGCAGTTGTCCAGATTGTTCTGATGACCATCCTCATCAATGTCCTGGTTATTGTCGCACTGATCTCCAACCAGGTCATTGTCTACGTCAGTCTGTTGGATATATATATACAAATGTTAGCGTTCTAAAACGGTATCAATGGACTGTACTAGAATGGGACATTATTTGAAGTGTAGTACATTACCTGATCGGGGTTGTGCAGCAATGGACAGTTATCACACTGGTCGCCAACTCCATCCATGTCAGTGTCCTTCTGATCAGTGTTGTATACATAGGGGCAGTTGTCACTCTCATTCAGAATGTCTAAGGAAAATAAAAGGAGAATTTAAGGTTCAGATGTAACTATTAGCTGCCATAGATGGACTGATTACAGTATTTTATCCATTAAGCTTGGCTATTGTACCATCTCCATCGATGTCGACTGCGCAGGCATCCCCTTCTCCGTTGTGGTCGGTGTCTATCTGAGCAGGGTTGTGTTCATAGGGACAGTTGTCACAGCGGTCGCCAACTTCATCCTTGTCAAAGTCAAACTGGCGAGGATTGTAAAGGAGGGGACAGTTGTCCTGTGACAGAAAGCAAATGTTTGTTATGGAACTGTTGGACAAACATGAATGTAATCATTATTTTTTTTTTTTTAAATAAATGTTCACCAATCATGTTTATATTGTGTGGTTCAGTGCAAATTAATCAAACAACTATTCCAACAAACTTAAAAAAAACCAAACTGTGTCATATAGTGGCTATGGGTTTTTTCAAACTGCAGTATGAGTACTACTGTAGGTACAGTGCTGGAAATTGCAATAAAAACAGCCCATTAACTGGCAAATTACACACTTATAAGGTATTTGTAAGTTTACACCGTAGAAAATCCCAGTCAGACTATAAAACCCCTGAGCCTGAACATGCCAGTGTTTTAATTTGCAGAGTTTAATGAGATACCTCAGCTGTCTTATCTGAAGAGCAACCAGACACTGTAGGTCTGACTCATATTGAGCTTTGGCTTCTTTGGGAGATGCACTAAACTTCTTTGGGAAACACTAAACCCATGGATTTTGTTTTTCCCTGACAGTTATAACACACTTATGTCACATTACGTGAAAAAACTTTCAGGCTTTCTATTTTATATGCTAACGGTAAAAAACTACAAATTAAATAAGCTTCGCTTTCAGTTTGTGCCATCTTGCATAATGTGACCTGAAAGCCTGGTTCAAGAACAGCACTGGTATTTCATTTTTTCTGCTGTAAAATAAAAACTTGCAAGTCAGTTCCAACGAGTACTATTGGTTGTTGTGACGCAATATGTTAATGATTATTTGTGACATTTCATTGTTTATGGATGCCATTTATTAGTTAGTGCAATTAAAAATTTGCCGTACCCTTTCATCCAGAATCCCATCGTTATCATCGTCCTTGTCACAAGCATCTCCTTGACCGTCTTTGTCAAAGTCTTCTTGTCCAGAGTTGGGAAGGCTAGGGCAGTTATCCTGAAATATTAGCAGGGAGTTCATGACTTTTACTGTTTACTGTGGAAGATACACCGCAAAATAGGCTACATCAAATGTGTGTGAAGTTCAATGGTGTTACCTTCTTGCAGTGATAAGTGGCGTTGGCACCGCACACAAGGTTCTGATTTGGCCAGCCATCCAAGTCCGAGTCTTCGCCACAAATGAAGCCATCTCCAGCATAACCGGTCCTGCACTCACACTTGTACATCGGGTCACTGAAGTGGCTGATGTAAATGCATTCAGCATATTTGTGACAGTTGTGGGTCTTGTCCTTGCACGGGTTCTCTGGCTCGCACACCTAAAGAAACAAAGAGGGCAGGGAAAGCTGTGTTATTAGAGTTGTCACTGTCCACATCCAGCATCAGCAGCAATGGATCTGACCTGCAAGAAAAAGATAAAAGATGGCCCCCTACAGCCATGTTTTTTTTTTTTTTTTAGAGCTCAAGTATCACAGCTCTCTTTTTGGAAGGCCCCTCCAAGCTGAAGGCTACTTCAAATCAAAATGAAGGTTTAAGGGAGAGATTTTGGACAAAGCCAAAATGTGCGGCACTTCTGGGCACGCTCGATTTTACTAGATCCCACTACATGCATCATACATCCCACTACGACCTACTGTTGCCCCTTTATTGCAGCGCAAGGTATTCACAGCTGCCACTCATTACCGGAGGATGAACCTAACTCCAACTTGGATGCCACTCCGTGTGCTCATAGATGCCAAAAGTGATGGCAAGAGCAGGCCTTTGATCAAAACTGTAAAATGGAGCCTCTTAATGCCAGCAGTGAGACAATTCCCTTTTTCCCAAATCAATTTGTAAAAGCGGGGCATCACATCACAGGCGGGCAGCTGCAGAGGCCGAAGAGTAGCAAAAATGGTACACGAGGGATGTTATGCAAGTGGTGGTCAAGGTGGCACGGCGAGTTTGTCAGTTTTCCAGGGACTCAGTGATCACGAGAGAGAAGGAAACAATTGGGCTCCAATCAAGTAACTAATCTGACATTTATGACATATTATATTAGCTGTAATACTGCTAAAATGTTGCACTTATGACAGGGGTGGGAAAGTGGAAATGAAAGAGGGAAAAAAAGCAAAGATTCCTTTAACATCTACAGTGAAAATACAGTATCAAGAGCTGTCTCTGATATTACACTGAAAGTACCAGAGATGTGCAACATATGTTTGTTGTTAAGAGTTACCACACTCTCCTCCCACTCCTTCTGCTTGCTGATATTGGGTCAAGGTGAGTTACATTCATATGTGGTGGCCCAGGGCCTCCCGTCCAACACTGTGCAAACACTCTCACTGCAAGGATAAGGCTTATAAATCACTTGACCTGCTGCTTCAATCATTCGTAAATTTGGATACAAACGCAGCTGCCTTTGAAAATCTGCCTGGAGCTAAAGGTCCATGTCGTTTACTTCTTCAAGTCTACCACTGTTTGAATGGCATCCTACCAGCGGAGAATAAAATCAACTTACTTGTTTGTTCTTCTTGGCAGCTTCCACGCCCATACCGTACGGCTGGGTGCCCTTATAACGCTTTGGACAGGGCAGACAGTGGAAACCTGGATCAGTGTTGATGCAGCGCTGCGTTCCACTCACTTTGTAGCAAACATCAGGCACCATGTCACACTGGAGGAGGGAAAGAAAAACAAATCGGCAAAATGCAAGACAAATAATTACACGAATGGAGTGTCAAATACAAGTACAGGCTTTGCATGTAAGAAAAACAGCAACTTTTACCTCATTAATGTCTTCACAATGGGTACCATTTCCACGAAAACCAGCAGGACATGGGCCACACTCCCAGGATCCATCTGGAGAGCTGCTGCAATCCACTCCCCCGAAGCAGGGGTTAGACAAACAGCCATCTGTGAGGGATTTAGACGTCAAGATTGGATACAAACAAAGGACTCTGATGTAAACATTGACATATCTATGTAGTGTGTCTCCAAATGATGTAATTTTAATTATTTCTATCTCAACTTGATGCTTCATGATCAAGCCCCCACCAGCTCTGCATTTGACTTTACTATGACTATAAAGGGTAGATTCACCAAAATCACACAAAAGCTCAGTTTTTTTTTCCTCCATGAACTCATGCAAAAAGCTTTGGTTTTTATTTGCACAGGTTTTGGACTTTTGCCTCCACTTTGATACAGTTGAGGTAAATAGTATGGTACTGGTTATTGTTTGTGGTACAACATCTCATTCCAGAAACAAGAGTCCTGTTACTAATGAAGAGTAAATGAGAAAATAGGTTTTTTTTCAATAAAACGTGAGCCAACCCTTTATAGCCTGCATTTGTTAAGAAATACGCAATAAACTCAGAGTAGCAAGACTAAGAGTACACAGGCATGCTAGCTACACCACATAGCTGCAGTGCTGTGAGCTTAATGCTTACATGCTTAAACTGATAATGTGATCATGATGGTCACACTCAGTATCCTACAACACTGTGTGACAATAACAGCTAGGGTTGATGGGAATGTCATACATAATCGATAGTGACACTACAGCAAAAGATCCCCATGGATGTCTGTACAAATTCTATTGCACTGCCTCAAGCATTTGTTGAGATAATTCAGTCTGGTTTAAATTGTTGGACTGACAAAGCTGTTTCCTGAGTGTGTCTCTTTCATAGCTGAAAACTTAATGCAGAGTTGACTGATGCTCACCAATAGGACACTCTCTTGAGTTACAGCTGTCGCTGTCAAAGGCCTCCCCGATACACTTCTTCCCACCGTGTTGAGGTTGAGGGCTGTTGCACTCTCGTGTACGAGTTTTGCTTCCGCCTCCACACGTTGCTGAGCAGGTTGCCCACGGCGACCATGGTCCCCAACCACCATCAACTGAAAACAAACAGAGACAGATGCTCAGGTATTACTCTTTGACACCAAGTGTATTATTCCTTAGATATTTCAACTGTAAATACACATTAAAAAGTACCAAATCTAAAAGAAAAAAAAAAAAAAAACAGCCTCAAAGTCAGAAGCCTGGAACTTAATACTCGAAGGGAAAACATACTGAGCTGATTTGGGTCAACATTTCCTGAAAGATTGACAGGAGGCCAGTCCAAAACACATGGGGAATGTTGCCTTAGGGGAGCCATGAGACATGAAGAAGTCTGGCATTCGGACAGAGGTGCTCGTCGCCGTAAAGGGGATTCTGCTTCTGAGTGTCTGTCTCACGAGCTGAAAACACTCACTGGGACACGGCTGGGCAGTGCAGCGCTGAGTCTCTCTCCCACTTCCCTCGCAGTCTTTTCCCCCCAGCTGCGGCACGGGAGCGTTGCAGTGTCGTATCCTGGTGATCTGTCCTTCTCCGCAGGTCACCGAGCACGACGACCACGGCGACCACAGGCTCCACCCTCCGTCCTGGCGAACTGGGGTATCAAACATCAAACGTATCAGGCAGAGATCACCAAAAGACACACATGTCATGTATTATCCTCTGCATTTCCATTCAAGCCAAATAGTTACAGACGTGTATAATTTGCAAAAGTAAAAAGAAGACGGCCACCACATTTTCTACAAGTAAACATTATGTGATGCTGGCGACGACGGCTCACTTTCAAAGATGTTCTAAGATGCTTGTGCCAGTATTTATGTCACTGTGGGTAAACTATCTTCTAGCGGTTAGACTGATTCAGTCACTCACACAGATGCAGTGTAACGTTAGCTGCAAGCAATAACACATGCTAATCCCAAAACCTATCAAATACCCAATTCTTCAGTTTCAGCATCCAGCATAATTCTAGCAAAATCACCACACCTCATATATAGTGCATCCAATTCAAATTCATTAATATTTTATATTTTTGTATGGAAGATATTAGTGAGTCACTGCACTGTGGAACACCCTCTCAGCCAGTGATTTATTTGGAATTAACTTGGACTGGGCACACCCTGCAACCCGACCATGCGATCCAGCTCTTCACTCAAATTCAGCCACACTAGGATGGATCCAGATTTATGGAGGCATGAACTCGGTCTTTTGCACTTTGGAGGATCTCATCTCGTTTTTTAACTGAGTTTTTCCACAGTTCCATCACAGTCCTCCCTCCCCACATGTCATACTGCTGCTCGTTTTAGATTACCGAAAGGCATGCGCTTTGATGAAGATAATATCGCAGGCATTCGCTACTGGGAGATCAACTATGAAGTACGTTTTTTTCAACACATATCCTCACCGCGGCTGTCACATTTGCCAAGGCTGCACTTGCGGGTCTGGATCGAAGCTCCGGGGCAGGGGTTGCTGGTTGCATCGCATGACCGACCCCTCTGTTGAGTTCCTATTCCGCAGGTGACCGTGCACTCAGTCCACTCTGACCAAGGGGACCAACCATCCTCAGGTTCTATAGCTGTAAGAAGCAAAGGCAACATTAGTTTTTTAGTTGTTTTTTTTTTTTTTTGCATAAGAAACACTCCCACATCTACTCATTTGACAGAACAGTAAAAGTACCGTAAAAAAGGATCACAAGTGCATTTATTCCTCTTTATGTCAGCCTGTTTATCACATGACATCATCTGAAGAACCCACAGTAGCCATTCAGAGTGTCTACCAATAAATATGTGGTTTGCTCCCAAAGACAAACTGGCCGCAACAGTCCTGTGGTATTAAAGTTTAATATGCATGGAATATTGTTTTTATGGCATATTGCACCATTAATTTAAAACAGCATGCATGCATAAAATTGTGTGCGTGTTTGTAATTGTGTTTATGTGCTGAGGAGGTTCGGACTACTTACGCAGACACACAGGGCAGCAGTCGCCGTCAATAAATGAGGGGCTGGCACAGGCCACTGGGGGGCATGTAATTTGGTGACACACAATCTTGGACTCCTGCCATCAGGTAACATTAGAGATAGATCAGTGTCATTGATATCCATAGTAAATTTGTTCATATTCCCATATGACTTTGTACTACCTGGCAGGTACATTTGGTGCAGCTGTCTACAACCCAGTCTTCCTTATCCTCAAACAGGCGGCCATCCTGCCAGCACATGTTTTTCTCTTTAGAGTTCGACATCCTCCCAAGGACCTCCTTCATGACCGTGTTCTCCTCTGTCTGAACATACAACAGCAGACAGATTTGCAGTCAGAGAGGAGATCAGTCAGAAATGATTAGGACACACTCAGGATAAAAGTATATCGCCACTCGCGGGGAGAAAGGCACACCTGCTGACAGGCTGATTCTTTTAAGGGGGAATGTGTGAGGTTACTTTTCACCAGGTGGGAAGAAAAAGAGTCGATTCTGTAGAGCAGAAGCCCTGTAGAGCTGCTGTAAACTTTAATATTATTCACATAAAAGACTACTTCTGGTTAATATTAATCAGTATAATGCACAAACAATCCACCTCTCCGACTCAGTGGTGCCTTGAGGTGCACACCTTAACATCTTTAGATATCTTTCTTTCTAATCACTTCATGTGAGATCAAAGAAAATTTAAAAAGAAAAAATAGTCAATTTTATAAACAAGAATACTTTGCATCTTATTACAGTAAACTTCTTTACATCCTTTCTGCTTCTCGGAAAACAGCCGACTGAAAAGTGCTGCTTAGTTACGCACATTACAACCTTCAGCCCAATTGGAGACCAGGGGATCTCTGGCTGGACTCAACGCTTGGGAACTGTCAGTCGATAAACTGCTGCCAAAGATTTGTGTGTATGTGTGTGTGTGTGTGTGTGTGTGTGTGTGTGTGTGTGTCCTCCTGTTGGAAAAGGGAGACAGCAGTGAGCAGCACTAGAATCGAAGACACCACTCGGTCTGGAAGAGCCTCAGGGACCCTTCTCATACCAGCCGCTTTTTTTTTTTTTTTTTTTTTTTTCCCCCAGGTTCATGCCCAGACTCTCTTATTGCTGGGAGGCTCCCAGAGGAAACACATGGGCTGTTTAAACAAAGCCAGACATTAAACTGGACCCCATCACTGCCAGGGGAACACTTCCTATATCCACATGTAACATGTCATAAAATCTGTCTGACTCACGCTGCCACAGATAGCAGGAGTCAAACGGGTTCAGCCATCACAGGCGACTCTATAAACAGTCCTGCGGCTACTTACTGTTTGCTTTCAAACCAATGTAGGTTACCTAGTAACCTAATTCAAACCTCTTACCTTCTGGCTACTGCACTGAGGACCGTATCATTTATTTTCCTAAAATACCAATTTTCTCCAAAATGTTCTTCCCTCACACAAAGACAGTTAGTTTTACATTCATCACTGAAACTGGCCAGTAAAGTAGAGCAAAACAGACGGTAGCTTCTCTAAGGCAAACATAAGTCAGGATTATATTGATTTACACTTAGTAAGAGCGATTCGGTCAGGTTTCCACATTTGTCACTACTTACCACTTTTTGCAAGCCATCAATAAGGTTGCTGACGACAACACGAAGGCCCTTGAGCTCCTGGAACATGGTGCTAAGTTCCTCACAGGAGCGTTCACACATTTCTGCTCCCAAGTCGTCTGTCTTCTGACCTATAATGTTTGTAGTGATGGAAGGACTGACATCCACGATCTCTGTGCTCTCGCTCACAATGTTGGCGTCATCTGAAGGAACGAAACAAAACAGAGCTCAGTGGATCAGAAAAGTGAGCAAATGAACGAGTGACATAAGCGGAACAAATCTGAGAGATATTATGGTTGAAACACAAGATCAGGAGAAAAGAGTTCTGTTTTCTTGTAGTTGGCCAAAAGATTGCAACAATGCAGTGATTGCAATGTTTATTACGTTTGCGAAACCACATACCCAAGCAGTGAGTCTGGGTGTTCCTCATGTGATGAAAAAACCACACCGTTCACCATAAATCCTCCCTGACCTTTTAATAAGTGGACACGTCCAATATGAACTTAACAGACCTGTATGACCACACAGATGGATTTAAAAGGAGCCACTCAAACTCATAGTCCCGTCATTGCAGCTCAGAAGCTAACCTTGTCCAGATATCGACACACCAGAATTCAAAGTGCGTAAAAATCCCTGAATCACAGCATGAATAATTCACTCCTGACGCTGAGGGGTTTTGTACTAGAAAGGTTTCCTTCAGTGCACATTGAGAAAGGGAGCACAAACTTCAAATATAGGGTGGTTTGTAGGGCATAATTAGGCTAAATGATAAGTTTTCCTTGCACAATCAACAAATCTGGAGGAGGAAGTCTGGCCCAGAGTAACGTGTCTACCAGCTGCGATCTTTGTACAACATTGACAGGCGACAACACGAGTCAGGGCAGCTTTTGTGGGGTGGAATTTGTATTAAACACTTTGAAATAATAATTACTCACAGTCCTTCAATTTACCCCTCAATTTATTCCCCCAATTTGTATCTCAAACTACTGAACTCTGGTTGTAATGTGGTAAACCTTCTGAATGTCTGATGCCCAAAGCAAACATACAAGAGACATATCAAAGCTCCATGGAATTGCTGTCATTCAGCCAAAGCACAGCGCATATCTGCAACTGGTTTGGATTTCGCTATGTAAATTGGTAAAGATTAATAGCAGATCGGGGACTCTAAATCAAGAAGGCATCCAAATTACCCAGTGATGTCCCACTGTAGCCAACGTTGTGTTTTCTTTCCTCTTCAGTCTGCTGGATTCATTTGAATCTCAGGAGGGCTTCACACAGTGTGCGCGTGTGAATGCGTGCTAGGTCGCCTGTGAAAGTATTTACACATTCTTCTCTCGCTGATAGACATTCCCCACTTTGAAAACGTAGATCAAGTGAAGAATTTAAAAGCGGACGAAAGCTTGGGCAATTTTAATTGCTCATTAATGTCTAACATGACAGCTTTTATGAGCGTGGGTTGTGTGGGTTTATGAGTGACTTTTAGCATTAAAGTTTCCTCCAGCGTAGAACCTTGTGTGGTTACGCGCCAGCATGCCGAAAACTTCTAGATCTTGATGACATTCGTAAAACAAATAAACTCATTCAGCTGGAATTCAACACTGCTTGTGGCCGCAGAAATGCAACAACCGCTCTTTCCCGCACAAAAAACGCATACCGCATATGGATTTGCTTTGTCACAGAGAACCGAAGACTTGGCTTCCAGATCTGGTGACCCTTTAGGTTTGCTGCAGATGATGAGTATGTATATATTTGCTCAGATATCTGTATCTTTTGAGTTGCAGCCGCTCTCGGTCTGAGCCCCTGCTGAGGGCCACAAGGTCCTATTCCTCATCCGAGCAAAGCTTCAGCTGAGAAAAGCAAACCAATCAGCCAATTCATGACTTCACTGTGTGAGTGTGTGTACTTGTGTGCGTGTGTGCAGCTGGAAGTGGAAGCTCCCCTCTCTGCTGTATAGCACTCACTTTCTCTTTTCTATTTTCTTTCCCAGGGTATTATCCCAAGTCCACTGCCAATGGAAATAAATGTAAGCATCTGCATCTCCTTTTGTTCACCGTGCTCACTGCTTGACCTCAAGCCACTGCACTGACACTGCTTGAACATGAAGTAATGGCTCGTGGTCTTGCCACATATCAAATCGGCAAACTCTTTGCTCCATTAAAAAAGGAGCTAAATTCATACAAAGGGAGTCAACAGAATATGTTAAACTGTGGTTAATACTTAACAAAACACAGACACTGTGTCAGAGGATTGCATGTGAGGGAGTTTTCCATATCACATCTGCAAGGTATCAGGCTTGAAGCAGTTTGCAAATATAATTATTTTGACTCATCATTTGGGTAATGAAAATCACACAGAATGTAAATGGGTTGCACTCATCCAGCACAGCAGGAACCTTTGGGTGAAAGCTGGTTGAAACCCCAAAATGATTATTCCAAAAAAAGACAAAAAGAAAAACTAAATCCATTCTTACCTTGTTTATTGACCTCGCAGTCTCTGCTCAGGAGGACGTCTTCCACTGAGGTATCAAAGATGAAAAACACATTCTGAAGAAGGCCCTGTTTGGAAAGAGAAGATGTGTCTCAATCACTGCACTCACTGTCATTAGAACTTTTGACTCCTTCAATGTATTTCAGAAGTGACATATGTCAAATTTCAATACGTTCCTCTTCAAAGCATAAGCTGGGATTTCTACCAAACACATTCACACTCCAGCATGGAAGTTTACTCTTGACCCAGTCACACACATCCACCCTTATTTTTAAACACAAGGGGAAATTTAGAGTCTATATTTGGAGTCTTTTCCATACAGACAGACCAGGGCAACACTGAGACACCCTGCCAATTTTTGAAGAGGTCTCTACTTTTGGAAACTCCTGTTTAAACGGACCTTTCATTATAAGCTTAGTGAGAACCACATTTTTTGTTTGTAGAACCCTATGAGAAGTAGCAAATACTGTAGTTGTAGTTCCCAAATCTTGGGCAAACCTTTGTCTAGTTACTATAAAAAAAACTGTCTCTGTCTTACCCTAAAGTGGTTCTCACGGATGGATCCCTTTGCCACATACATGCGGCCTCCTTCAGCCTGCAGGTGCTCGTAGAACGGCTCATCCAGGATGATGCTGTCGATCAGGTTGCAGCCCACAAACAGGTTTGCGTTCTCCCCGTGAATATGAAGCGTGATATTCTTCCACTGCGAGTCAGACAGGTCCACATCCTCGAATGAAATCACGTTCTGCGAGCCGTCCACCCAGTATACGAGGTCCAGAGTGTTGGCACGTCCGTTGGACACGATCTCAAACTGCCGCCGGCCATCGTCATCCTCCAGAGCAATCAGGGTGCCCCGTGAGGCACGGTCCTGGCGTATGCTGGCTACAAACACAAAGCCTTCATTGTTTTGGAACTGGCGGAGGATTTGCTTCAGTATGGGGGGGCTCACTGGGGGCAGGTGGTCGAAACGGATGAAGCGGTAGGCAGGGGCATCTGAGTTTTGGCCCCGGAACTGTTTGGCCCCCAGAGTTTTGCGCGTGATTTGGCTGATTTCAAACAAGTCGAATGATGTCTCGTCCTCCTGCTCACCATCTACGAGTCAGACAAGAGGAAATGCAAATGGACAGTTATTGTACCTCAGGGGCAGAGAGGAGCCAAACAAATGGCAACATGTGGACTGCGGTGTCACTTTAAAAAAAAACTTCACTGGAGTGGATGATTGCACAGTAAGTTATCATCAAAAAACTGGGTTAGTTTCTGTCATTATCATAACCATATTAATATCTATTAATTATTATAAGGCTGCAATGCATTTTCCACTTACCTTGAGGTAATGCTTGAAGGAAATTAAGTGATAATAGCAACAAGAAGAGACTTCTTCTGAGTATCATATCTCCTTCAAGAAACAAAGACATTGTTTTTTGTTAGTTTTTGGGTCTTTTTTTTTCTTCTTTTTTTCTTTTTCCAACATCCTGGGTCCATCTAACATGTTAAGTTTGCACTTAATTTGCACTAACCAGTCAATAGTAGGACAAAAGAGTAAAATAAATGAGCTAAAGGGAGATGATGAAGCAATGCTACAATAGGAGATAGACTTACAGTAAACAGTTTACAGCACAAAAACGTCTAAACTTTATATAATATCGCTATTTTACGGAATAAAGTAGCATCTCGTGTGTATCTTTTTGTCTTTTCGTGCAACAGGTAAAGAATTACTTAAAGTGCATCGCTGATAAATTTGCCTGACACTGTCTATCCACACAGGAGCAATAATACAAAAAAAAAAGCTACTGTGCATCCATGTAGCCTGACTCACCTGGCGATTTCAGTTTTTATTTATATTTTTTGGCTTTTGTCAGAAATCCAGCGACAAGAAAATAAAAAAAGGAGTTAAAATCGCAAAAATAGTGACTTATTTGATGATTTGAGCCGACGATTAGATGAATGAGAATCGGTATCTCCAGTTAAAGCCCGTGCGTAAAATGCGTAAAAGTCCACTTTGGTTCGCTACATCCACAGTCTGGAGGACCTGAGGCACAAACAGTGACTGAGGCGCCCACCTCCCTCCTCCTTATATAGAGGCTCGCAGAGAGGCTGTCAATCAAAGTCTGTCGGGTCTGAGCAGTTTGTGGTGGGTTGTTAAGAGACAGAGTTACATAATTATCTTCCGATGGCGTAATTTTCTTATCCGTGCTCACACACGGAGACTGGATTCGCGAGCCCTCCCCTCCTCCCCCCCATTGTGATGCCAACCGTCCCCTCCCTCTCAAACCCACCTTTCCCCGCTGTGTCTGGAGCTAATTCACTTTCGCTGGGGAGGAGATGGATGGATGTGGGGCTGTTTTGCTCAAAACAAAACAAAACTAACAAATTAAACCGCTGCAGTAACAGTAGGTGCACTTCATAAAAGTATTGTTGTTCATTTAATAACAGCAGAATGAGAACAAATTCTGCTATTTGTGGTTTGTTAAACATCTTTGCCAACATATCCAGCAACATAGTGGTGAAATTTCCTTAATTTTAAAGATCTAAAAGAAAATACATCCAAACAGAAGTTTAAAGAAAGACACTGATGCTGTTTTTTGACTAAAAGTGTTATAATTTAAAACCCTAAAATATCAATAACTCAGAGTGAGAATCCTAGCTATGTCTGCACTGTGAGACAGAAAAATAGAACACGAAAATGACCTCCAATACAACAGATACTTTGGATGCTTCCCCTTTGCTGGCAAGCAGTGTCTTGCGTCTGGAGACTGTCATCTTTTTGCCAAGGCTTCCCTCTGCGGTGTCAGAGTCTCATTCTTGGAGCCCTGTAGAGGGATCCTAGCGCTGAATGTGGGTAAGCCTTTGCGTACCAATAGGATGCATCTCAGGGATGGTTTGCGTCAATTGGAAATGTGCATTCCATTTAGAGGAAAAAAAAATAAAAAAGAGTGGGGGGGTGAAGAACACAGAGTTTCTTACCAAATGAGGTGATTGTCTTTGGACTTACTAACCTGACAGAAATTAGAAACAGTCGAGGACAGTTAGTCAGACATACAAGAATTTAATGAGGCTCGCTGATGATACAAGGGTTCTGCAGTGACCAGAGTGCATCAGATTAAATCTGTCGAGGGTGGAAAAAGTTTTAAAAACTCGACAGACATGCTCTAATTAGACATGGTAGCAACTGTCAGTTTGTCGTTTCTCATGTTGGGTTTTAATCATTTTGAATGTGTTCTTTTTAAGTAATTAATCATCAAAGTTATAATGTCCGTTCTGGAAAAAAAGACTTCAGTAGCTGGCTTAGTAATAATCTGGAATCTGTATCTCCTAGTTGGACAGATGCTACTTAACCCTCTGAACCCTAAGCAGTTTATGACTGTTTTTTTTGTGCCTGTCACATTTTTACTCACTGTGGGTTTATTTTTCACGACAATATAAAGTCCCGCACCTCTTTGGAAATAGCACAACCATGGCTGGAAGTAGAGAGGACTCAGAAATGTATTCTGTGCAGCATGACATCGTTCTAATGGGATTAATCACACACACAAAAAAACTAAAGTTGAGAGTTGAACATCGACAACATTTTACAAATACCTACGGCTGTTAACAATTCTGGAAAACAGAGGCTCCACATGCTACAGATATTTTAACATTTTAACAATCTTCGTAAGATCATAGTTTTTTTTTTTTATTTGACTCTGCACATCAGCTCTAGATATTTAACAGTTCACCATGCAGAATGTATCTTCCAACAACTTGCCGACAGTTTGCTTCACTTCATACCTTTTGTGAACCATGCTGCATGTATTTTATTAATCACATTTTGTTCATTTTGCTCTCGTCTACTCTTGTCACATGACTGCTGCTTACAGTCAAGTCACTTATGACTTCTTACTTTGCATGGAACACAGAATTTTTTGTTCTTTCCAGGATCTGGTGCAAATATTTTTTGTAGAATAAGTAGTTTTCAATGTAATGTCCATTATATATCAAAGTCAATATCGCTTTCAGAATTTTTTTCTTTGATAATTGGTGTAATTTTGGCATTTTTTTTCTTTTAAAAAAAAAAAAAAAAAAAGGAAACATGCCTTTCAAACCTGCTGGTAGGGCTTGGAGTTCAGAGGGTTAATAAAATACTTGTCAATATATTATGCTAAACTTTTGATACAATAGCTGTATATTTTATAAATGTCAATACTGTAATCAAAGTGTTTCTTCTTATACCTTTCATTTCTTAAACTACCGAGTGTGTCAGAAAAGTTTCAGGACTGGTGTCACAAAAGATATATTTCAAATCCAAACTACATGTTTCCCCTTCAAAGTAATCCCTCTGGAGTCCAACACACTTTCCCAGCCTTCTCTGCCGCGCCGCCATGCACTCCTGGAAGGATTCTTCCAGGATCCTCCACAGCTCCGTCATCACAGCCATCTTGATGTTGTCCACGTCTTCAAAACGGGTCCCCTTGACGACCCCCTTGAGCTTGGGGAAGAGGAAAAAAACACAAGGAGCCACGTGGGATGAGTAGGGAGGTTGCTCCAGCACGGTGATGTTCTTCTCAGCCAGGAACTGTGGGATGCTCAGGGCATTATGAACAGGCACGTTGCCATGGTGAAGTAGCCACGACTTGTCCTGCCACAACTCTCGCCTCTTCTCGCGCACTGAACAAAGCAAACACCACAGGATCTCTTTGTAGGTGTGCTGGTTAATCGTCTGACAGGGAAAACTTGTAATTTGTAGTTTGGGTTTGAAATATATCTTTTGTGACACCAGTCCTGGAACTTTTCTGACACACCTCGTAGTTCAGATAAAAAGCCAACCGTAGCATCACTATTGATTAGTACAGAGCTGATGCAGACAAAACACAGGCAGTGGAAGAAAAAAAGACAGCAACAAATCCACATCAGACTTGTTTACACCAAAGTATGCCATTAAGAGACAATCAAGAACACACTGCTCCTAATAAATTGCTTCAAATACACAATTTGCACAGTTCCAGTTCCCGTCATCTTTGAATAGTTTGAAAATGTTCTCATTAGGGCCACATTCTGATCCAATACTAACCTACTACGCAGCAGAGATCCACATATAAACGTGGACTCCTCTATTAATGCTACAAACAGCAGAGATCTGGAAGAGCAATAAAATAAAGGTGATGGATGTCAGTTAGGTTGATAAACAACAATAGTTTCCAGTTCTCCTCTCCAAAC